TGGTAGACTTGATTCTTAGTAAATCAGGGCCCTAGAGACTGATAGACCCCAGATTTCTCAAAAATATATATATGTGACAATGCCCATTGAATTTATAGGGGATATTTGCATTACCTGTGATAGCATTAAAAGTGATAAAAAAAAAAAATGAAAGGGACTGTGTAAAAATTATTTAACCGCCTCCCGACCACCATATAGTAAAATGACGGACACAAGGCAGTTCTCTCGTTCTGGGAGGACGTCATATGACATCCTCCCATTCTAACCACGCATGTGCAGCTCCGGGAGTGCGCAGCATGGCGATTGGAAGTGCGCTGTGTCCCTCGGACACAGAGGATCACCGATCAACGGAAAGAGCCGAAGATGTCGGCTCAGTCATGTGATCAAACAAAAGAAAAATATTCCTGCGCCAATCAAAATCAATAAATCACCCTTCTAAATTGCTGCTGTGCAAAAAATGTGTGAAAACACAAACAGTAAAATATATAGATAAACAGCGCAACATAGACCTAAATACAAATATTAATAAATCACACAATATAAATGTCCCAAATTAAATAGTGCATGTATATATTAAAAAATCTTCAGAAAAAAACCCATAAAGTCTCTTGTGAAGATAACTGAAGAGTCCAAAGATGTTTATAACCTTCCACCTTTCACCCGTGCACACCAACATCAAATACACTCACCAGATTTTGGTGAGTGAAAAGCCTTTAAGGATTTTTGGGGAATCCTAAACCCCCTTTTCATCAGCTCAATGATAGCCTGCCCCTCCAAGTTTAGATCTTCTTTCAGGTCCTCACCGTGGCTTCCTAGTTTGCTCCACCATATTGTCAAAGAGAAAGCTTATATAGTGTAATATTGCCACAACAGTATTATACCAAAAGACAAAATCCAGGCCACTCACATTTCAACAGCTTGTAACAGGCACATTTATTAAGCCCGTGACAGCCTTATGATGAAAACCAGCCAACATGATCCAGGATTCCCACACCAATGCAGCCAGATAGAGCAGAGGAACAGCAGAGAACCAGCCTAGATTCCACAAAATGGCCGCTGGAACGCACCGCTCGGCGTGCGCTCCACTCACTGGAAGTGACGTCAGACGTATGGCAAATCGACCAGAATTACATCAACGCGTTTCGCCCTCCCATCGGGCGGTCTCAAGACCTTGACGCGTTTCGCCCCTTGACGCGCCAAGACCTTGAATCCCCAAGACCTTGAATCCCCAAGACCTTGACGCGTCAAGACGCGTTTCACCCCCTCCCATCGGGCGTTCTCAAGACCTTGAGAACGCCCGATGGGAGGGGCGAAACGCGTTGACGTAATTCCGGTCAATTTGCCATACGTCTGACGTCACTTCACTTCATCATGTATACTGATGATCAGTGAGCCCTGATGATCTGTGTAGCCCCATCAGCGCCACCTGTCAGTGTGCATCAGTGCCAGCTCTCAGTGCTCATCCATGCCACCTGCCAGTGCCCATCAGTGCCACATTTCAGTGCCCATCAGTGCCACATCAATGCCACATATCAGTGCCCATCCGAGCTGCCTTTCAGTGTCACCCATCAGTGCCACCTATCAATGCCAGTCAGTGCCGCCTATCAGTGCCAGTCAGTGCCGCCTATCAGTGCCAGTCAGTGCCGCCTATCAGTGCCAGTCAGTGCGCCTAACAGTGCCCATCAGTGCTGCCTATCAGTGCTGCCTAACAGTGCCACCTAACAGTGCCAGTCAGTGCCGCCTATCAGTGCCACCTAACAGTGCCAGTCAGTGCCGCCTATCAGTGCCCATATATGAGTGCTGCCTTTCAGTGCCCATCAGTAATGCCTGTCAATGCCCATCAGTGCCACCTACCAGTGCCTCCTCATCAGCGCCCATCAGTGCCACCTATCAGTGTCCATCAAGGGCAGGAATTCTAGCACTAGAACTCCTGTAAATCTAAAATGGTTGCTTGTAAAGGCTTTTAAAGTGCTGCCTATGGATAATAAAAATGTATGCCATTTGTCGCCATTGCATGGGGCATGCGCAGTTTTAAAGCATGTCATTTTTGGCATCTATTTACTCAGCATACCATCATCTTTTTAAAATTTACCAAATAATTGGCCAATATATTGTGTTTTTGTGCATTAAAAGTAAAAAAAAGTGTATTTTTTTTAAAATTGCGTTTGAAAAATCGCTGTGAGAGTACTATGTGACGTAAAAATTTGCAGCACCTACCATTTTATTCACTAGGGTGTCTGCTTTAAAAAAAATATATGTTTGGGGGTTCAAAGTAATTTCCTGTCAAAAATACAGATTTTTTTTTTATGTGAACAAAAAGTGTCAGAAAAGGCTTGGTCTTCAGGTGGTTAGAAGAGTGAATGATGTGTGACATAAACTTCTAATGCTGGGCATAAAATGCCCCCACCCCCAAAACGATCCCTTTTTGGAAAGTAGACACCCCAAACTATTTGAGAGGCATGTTGTGTCAATAGAAGAATTAATTTTTTTTACCTCAAGTTTTTGGAAAATGACAAAAATATATATATTTTTTTTACACAAAATTGTCAATTAAATGATTTATTGCTCACACATGCCATGGGTATATGTGGAATTACTCCCCAAAATACATTCTGCTACTTCTCCCGAGTATGGGGGTATCACATGTGAGAGACTTTTTGGCAGTCTAGCCAGGTACAGGACTCCAAAATCCAATAAGCACCTTCAGGCTTTTAACCACTTCCTGTCCGGACACTTTTACCCCCTTCCTGTCCAGGCCAATTTTCAGCTTTCAGCGCTATCACACTTTGAATGACAATTGCGCGGTCATGCAATATTGTACCCATATGAATTTTTTACCATTTTTTTGAGACAGATAAAGCTTTATTTTGGTGGCATTTATTCACTGCTGGGATTTTTATTTTTTTTGCTATGTAAATGAAAAAGTCCAAAAATTTTGAAAAAAAAGTGTTTTTCTTATAAAATTTTGCAAATAAATAATCTTTCATCATAAATCTTGGCCAAAATGTATTCCGTTATCTTTTTAGAAAAAAAATAAGCCAAATTAGTTGATAACCAAAAATTATAATTTTTAAACATTTTATTTACATTTTTATTTTATTTTTTTTTTTTTTTTTTTTATTTTTTACATACTGTCACCCTAGCAGCACAGTGTCACCATGGTGACACTGTACTACTTGTGGGGGGTGATGAAGATTTTTTTTTTTTACACCCATATAGGATGTTTCTCTTTCTCTCTGTCTGCATTCTTGCAGCCATTGAGAACTACTGAGTGAGCTGTGATTGGTCACAGCTTGTCACATGGTACAAGGCTGTTGTGAATAGCCTTGTACCATGTGACCTCTGTGATCATTCACAGATTTCACACGTAGTAAGCAATGATGTCACAAGTGACATCTTGCTTACTACTTTGCATGTGATCACTGATTGGCCAATCAGTGATCACATGATCGGGACCTCGTACAGAGGTCCCGTCTGATGATCGGTGTTTCACTGTGTCCGGAGGACACAGCGGGCACTGGATCGTGGGTGCTGCGCGCTCCCAGGGAGTGCGCACAGCTAGAAATGGCGGGTGCCGTTTATGAATGGCAACCCGCCCCTGGAGTGCCTGCTGTTTATAAAAAGCAGGTGGACGGCAAGTGGTTAAAGGGCTTTATTTCCTCATTACACTTCCTGACTACCCTTCATAGTTTCGGAGGCCCTGAAATGCCAGGATAGCACCAAACCCCCACAAATGACCCATTTTTGGAAAGTAGACACCCCAAGGAATTTGATAAGAAGCATGGTGATTATTTTGCAGATCTCATTTGTTGCCACAAGTTTTTGTAAAATGAAGCAAGAAAACAAAAACATATTTTTTCTTTTTTTTTATATTTCAAAACCTTGTGAGAAAAAAATGAGATCTGCAAAATACCATGCCTCTTTTTAAATTCCTTGGGGTGTCTACTTTCCAAAAAGGGGTCATTTGTGGGGGTTTAGCGCTATCCTGGCATTTCAGGGCCTCCAAAACTGTGATAGGTAGTGAGGAAGTGGTCATTGGATTTCAGGCTCCTGTATGTGGCTAGGCTCCTAAAAAGTCTCACACATGTGGTATCCCCATACTCGATAGAAGTAGCAGAATGTATTTTGGGGTGTAATTCCACATATACCCATGGCTTGTGTGAGAAATATATAATTTAAATGACAACTTTGTGTAAAAAAAAAAAATAATAATAAAAATATGTTTTTGTCATTTTCCAAAAACTTGTGGAAAAAAAAAAAATCTTCCATAGACTCAATATGCCTCTCAGCAGATAGCTTAGGGTGTCTGCTTTCCAAAAAGGGGTCAATTGGGGGTGTTTGTACTGTCCTGGTATTTTAGCACCTCAAGAAATGTGATGGGCAGTCAGAAAGTAAAAGCTATGTAAATTCCATTATCTATACCATAGTTTGTAGACACTATAACTTTCACACAAATCAATATACACTTATTGGGATTTTTTTAACCAAAAACATGTAGCAGAATACATTTTGGCCTAAATTTATTGGATATTTCAATTTGATATTTTTTATGACAGAAATGAGAAAATATTGTTTTAAAAAAAAAGAAAAAAAAAATTTATATCAAAACTTTTTTGGTTTATAACGCCAAAAATAAAAAGTGCACAGCTGATCAAAAGAAACTTCTATTTGTGTGAAAAAATTTAATTTATGTACCGTGTTGCATGACCGCGCAGTCATCAGTTAAACTAGCGCAGCGCTGTATAGCAAAAAAAATGGCATAAATTGCAGTATCTCTACCATAGTTTGTACACACTATAACTTTCACACAAAGCAATCAATATACACTTATTTGGATTTTTTTTTTAGCAGAATACAATTTGGCCTAAATGTATGACTAACTTTGAGTTTACTATATATTTTTTTATAGCTGAAAGTAAAAAAATCGTTTTTCTTAACAAATTTCAGTCTTTTATTGTTTTATAGCGTGAAAAATAAAAAGCACACCGGTGATCAAATACCTCCAAAAGAAAGCTCTATTTGTGTGAAAAAAGACATAAATTTTGTTTGGGTACAGCATTGCATGACCGCGCAATTATCAGTTGAAATAGTGCAGCGCCGAATAGCAAAAGGAGGCCTGGTCATTAAGGGGGGTAAATCCTCAGGATGGCAAGTGGTTAAAATCAAAAGATAAAAAAAAAATACATTTTGATCCATTGCTTAAAAAAAAATAAATTTGTTTACATCCACCAGAGACCAGAAGCGACGTCATGGTGTCGTTTCTGTCCTCCAAGGCCATAGAGGCGATCAGAGATGATAGGTTCTCATCGTCTCTGTGACCAGCCGGCCACAGCATCGCATCATTTCTCGGGCGCGCTGGTTGAAACAGTAAGCCCTAGAAGCACCAGTGAGTCCCTTCCCGCCGCTACTGAAAGCGATCCAGTGACTAGTAAGCCGCTCGGAACGCTTTCATCAAAATGCCAGCTGCCGGATGAAGAAAAGATACCGGAGTTATGGGTGATATCTTCAGCCATGACCCTTGTAAACCACTTGCAAACTACAACATTTACATACATATTGCAGTCGGCAAGTGGCTATTGACACCAATCGCAAATTATCTCGTAGATTGTTAGCTCTAACGAGCAGGGCCCTCTGTTTCCTCTTGAACAAATTGTATTGCAACTGTAATGTCTACCTTCATTTTGTAAAGTGCTGCGCAAACTGTTAGAGCTATATGAATCCTGTATAATAATAATAATGCCTGAGATTGGAATCTGATTGGTCACACTGAAGAATAAAAATACATTTGGTTGGCGATATTTATTAAATCCAATAATGTATGCTTTCCCTGTGAGCATGCTATTTTACAAAAACTTGTTTTGGCTTTATAGCCTGGGAAGGGGTTGGAACCTTGGCCAGGTCTTTATACCTCTCTGTGGCCCTATTAGGGAGATACATTCTCAGTCCTCCCCAATGTTCCTTAAAGCTGAACTCCAGCCTTCCCTCTCCTATCATGAAATGGTTTATTTGATTTGACTGCACACTGTGAGCTCTTAGAAGCTATAGAAAGTCAGAGCCTGCATCATTTCCTGGCTGGTGGTGTCTACCATTATCCAGCCCTTTCCTCCCTAGCCTGTCTCTCACCCACCCTTTTATTTATTGAATTTCACGTTTCAATCAAAGCCGTTCAGCATCACATGCTGGTGGACTGAGTGCATATACAGCCTGCTTAAGAATGCCCACTCCTCCAGACTGACTTGTGTGCTTTGTGTATTTCTTTCAGATCTGTGCAGTGTGAGACTTTACCTCTGTGCAGGCTCTTCCTGTAATACAGACCATTCACTGCTGCTCTGTCATAGTGCAGGGTGACTGGTCTTGTCTCTGCCCCCTCCTTTAGTTTTTTGCAGGTATCTTGTAGTGGGTAGAGCCTTCTTGGTCCCTCCAACAGCTCTGTCTTCTCAGGCCACCAGACCACCACTAGGCCAATGGAGAGATGTAATAGGTGACTCTGGCATATCAGATCACCATACAGTGCACCATAATGAACAGAGGTGAATGCAGTCCTTAAAGTCATAAAATATATGTGTTTAATTCTTGTCCCTCCTCCAGGTTTTTCTAGTGCTGCATAATTTGGAACACACATGATGTCATCCTAGATGATGCCAGCATCACTGGGGAGAGAATGAGCGACATTTCTGTGAACAGGTACAGTGAAGGAAATAAGTATTTCATCCCCTGCTGATTTTGAATGTTTGCCCACTCACAAAGAAATGATTAGTCTAAAAATCAAATGGTAGCTGTATTGTAACTGAGAGACAGAATAGCAACAAAAAATTCAAAATAAATGCATGTCTAACAAAGTATGCAATTATTTGCATGTTCATGAGGGAAATAAGTATTTGATCCCCTATCATTCAGCAGGATTTCTGGCTACCAGGTGTCTTTCATACAGGTAACAAGCAGAGATTAGAAGCAGTCTCTTAAAAGGAGTGCTGCTAATCTAATTTTGTTACCTGTATAAAAGACACCTGTCCACAGGAGCAATCAAACAATCAGATTCCAAACTCTCCACCATGGGAAAGACCAAAGACCTGTCCAAGGATGTCAGGGACAAGATTGTAGACCTACACAAGGCTGGACTGGGCTACAAAACTATCACCAAGCAGCTTGGTGAGAAGGTGACAACAGTTGGTGCAATCATTCGCAAATGGAAGAAACACAAAACAACTGTCAGTCTCCCTAGGTCAGGTGCACCATGCAAGATCTCACCTCGTGGAGTGTCAATGATCATGAGAACAGTGAGGAATCATCTCAGAACTACACGTAAGGATCTTGTCAATGATCTCCAGGCAGCTGGGACCACAGTCACCAGGAAAACAATTGCTAACACACTACGCCGACAAGGATTGAAATTCTGCAGTGCCCGCAAGGTCCCTCTGCTCAAGAAAGCACATGTCCAGGCCTGTCTGAAGTTTGCCACTAAACATCTGAATGATGCAGAGGAGGACTGGTTGAAAGTATTGTGGTCAGATGAGACCAAAAATGGATTCAATAAAATTTCAGCAAATTTTGGATGGTAACCTGATGCCATCTGAAAAAAAAAAAGCTGACGTTAAAGAGAGGATGGCTTCTACAAATGGATAATGATCCTAAACACACGTTGAAATCCACGGGGGATTACATCAAGAGGCGTAAACTGAAGGTTTTGCCATGGCCTTCACAATCTCCTGACCTCAACATAGTTGAAAATCTATGGATAGACCTTAAAAGAGCAGTGTGTGACAGACAGCCCAGAAATCTCAAAGAACTGGAAGACTTTTGTAAGGAAGAATGGGCAAAGGTACCTCAAACAAGAACTGAAAGACTCTTGGCTGGCTACAAAAAGCGTTTACAAGCTGTGATACTTGCCAAAGGGGGCAGTACAAGATATTAACTCTGCAGGATGCCCAAACTTTTGCAGACGCCATTTTTTTGTTTTCTGTTATTTTGAAAGTGTAAATGATGGAAATAAAATCTAACTTTTGTTGACATATTATAAGAATGTCTAATCTGTAATTTGATGCCTTTTGGAGATTTTTCCATCTTTCCTTGGCTTCTTTATGCACATTAATACAAATTTTTAGCTGGGGTGCCCAAACTTTCGATCCCCACTGTATATACAGTAAAGCATGCTTATTATATTGAAAAACATGGAAAGAAGGCGCATTTAAGTGTAGTATTGGCAGTTTTATTCACATACAAAGTTAAAATTTCACTTACAAGAAGTCAAAGCATGACAGGCTCATCATAGTGTGGTCGACCGATATTCCTGGTGGTGTAAGATAGGGGCCATCCAGTGGCAGCATTCTGATGAAAGAGCCCTCTGCACATGCTCTGAAACTCGTCACCGCCCCCATTTTACATCACTTCCGGCATATGCATTTCATGCTGCCTCCTGAAGTTTGACAGCCATCTTAGTTTCGACATTCCTGCGTTCCACGGGTCATGTTGCCGGGTCATGGACGGCCAGCTGGCCCTTATCTCACATTGCCAGGAACATCGGTTGACTACACTATAGCACTGTCCACACAGAGGTCAGGGATTCTGCATCCTCCTATAGCAGAAAAAAAACTCGTCCTACAAGCTTTAATGAGTGCTCAGCTGGACACTGATAGAAGTCACAAGACTGCTATATACTGCTGATGAGAAAAGGTATGTAGCAGTTTACATTTACTAAAATAATTGCATTTCTATGTTCTGTGTACTGTGGGAGAGTGGATATAATGAATACAAGGTCCTGGGTTTAGTAATATTTTAATGCATTGCTTGCATTAGGTTAAAAAAGTTTTTAAGTTCCCTGTGCTTCCTCTTCCCTGTGTGAAGGGGGGGCTATGTTCCAGTGTTTGTGTCTCTGGAGCACAGCTCCATAGACACACAGGTTGGGAACGTGCATGTAGCATTTTGCTATGGGGAAACACAAGGAAAAGGAGGAGCCAGTATTGCCAGTGGGTGACCCGAGAAGAGGAGGATCAGGGCCGCTCTGTGCAATACCACTGCACAGAGCAGGTGAGTATAACATGTTTGTTATTTTAATTTAAAAATGTCTGCCTTTAGTAACACTTTAATGTAGTTCAAATGTTATTTTTTATTATATTCAACTCTGCAGTAATAAATGAAAGACAGGCTTTGGCTCAAGTCCCCATCCATTGGTCACACCCCTCTATGATTAGGCCCAGTGTGGATAAAACATGTCAGAGGAGTGTGACTGATGGGCAGAGACTTGCGCTGCAGCTTGTCTTTCATTTACTTCACACTGGAGTTGAATACAGTGTATGATGGTACTTGTATGCTATTCTATCCTGGAGTGAAATGTGCTCTGTCTCTGTCAGCACCTGAATACAGAATGTAAACCCAAGAGACTGATACTGGAGGCTTGGACTTGCACCGATCTGTTATGGTACAGTGGTCATACCGAGAAAGTCCTTGCTCAGGCGCTTCCCATTATAGGGTGATGGTGCTCTGTCTCTATCACCCACTTCTACTCCTGTGCTGTCATCCTGTCACACGGGCTTCCAATGGAGGCTACAAGTGCTCACTTTAACACATATCACAGATGTATAATCAAGTCTTTAGAACCAGATAATTCTTCTGTTATTTCCATAATTATCTTTTTTGTCCATGATGATGTGTGCCATGTGGCTTTAGCTTTTGTAGAAATTTTATACTCTGCTCTTATAGCTCCAAACTGACTGCTAAAGTGCAATTATACGTTACTGTTTGCCACTGAACATCTGAATGATGCAGAGGAGGACTGGTTGATAGTGTTGTGGTCAGATGAGACCAAAATCGAGCTCTTTGGCATCAACTCAACTCACCATGCTTGGAGGAGGAGAAATGCTGTCTATGACCCAAAGAACACCATCCCAACTGTCAAACATAATGATGGAAATATTGTAAGTGGTTTGTGTGTACTGCATTCTTGTTTAGTAAAGCATATAGAAGTTACTACACTACAGAAGTTTATGCATCCTTGCTTTTGCCCTAAGGTGACCTTAAAGATAACAAAAAAAACCCCCAAAACATTCACATATAAAATTTCTGGGAATACTCATATTCAAAAATGAAAGAACTAAAGACTTTATTTTGGATAGCGTAAGGGAGGGTTATAACCCCTGTAATTTTTTTGCCATCCGTGTTCCATTGGGTATATTTCCTTTTACTTTCTGTCTCATAGCCAAAATAGTAAGTGAGAGGAAACCTCTGCAAAATTAGGGTATCCCTTGTTGTCACCAGGTTCTCCAGAAACAACTCAAAATTTGATATATTTTTTCACTTTTA